GCAATGACATTATAAAGCGCACGTCTATCCTGATGTTTTTATCCCACAAACAGTGAGTTTTCATCACTGTGCTTTTATTTTTCCTTTGCCCACAATAAAGTGGTCTTCCTCAGTGTGAGGCTTAAAAATATGATTTTTTGGAATCTACTGAATCAATCAAATCTTGCCAACACAGGGAGAAATATGCGGTGTTCACTGTGCTGCTGGAATGGCAAAAGTCATCACTATTGTCTTTTGAAGTATGCTCTCACAGTGACTTAAAGAGACAGCGTCCTGACCAAACCGTATTTCAAATCAATTTCTTTTGTGCTGAGACCACATCCCCCTTGTGCGTGTTCCTAGGTGACTGGTCCGGCTCTTGGAGCGCGGTGATGGTTTACACAGTGATGTGCAATCACTGGAATATTTCTTTTCACGGCTTATCTGCCCACAGTGGGAATTTGCACGGACCACGACTCAGGGCCTGCCTGTCTGCTCGCCTGTGTGCCACTGCCTTCCCCTCCAATCCTGACCCTGCCTCAGATAAACCTATCCACGGGAGCATGGGATGATTTATTCAGCACAACTTTGTGGCAGCGCAGAGATTTGTGATTTAGTTAAACAAAGGTCTTCTGTGGTCAACCTCAAAGCAATAACAGCCTTTTTAACCTATTCAGCCAGTGAAAAATGTTTTAAGAGGACACTGAATGATGCATTGCACTTCTACAATGACCTTTCAGTACTTGAGCAGACATTTCACTTTACCTATAGTACTGTGCAAAAGTCTGGAGGCACCCGTCATTTCTTCATACTTTGCTTCCGAGGAGCCAGACTTTCTTGTCATATTTTAAAGTGGTCTTGAGTAATAGCTCTCCAGGCTTTCTGAAGGTCTTTCAAATTTTTCCTTTGGGCATTGGCTGCTTTTTTGCTCATTCTCAGTCCAGTCCTTGTACCTGACCATTTTCAGAGGATTTTGTTTGTTTGTTTATTTTAAAGCCACTTAAGGCTGAAATATGAATCCTTTATGAATTCATAAAAAAAAAAAAAAACCTAAACTCACAGGATTTGTGCACACATAGCAAACAAGTTGGCAAAGAACCAGTTTTAAATTGCGTCATCAGGCACTTTGCAAAACTGAAAATCAGTGGCCACAGGTCTTATGGAGTGATGAATTCAAATTTGGAATTTCTGCATGGAGGAGGTCAGGACAGACGTAAACAGTGAGGATCTACAGCCATCTGTAAAAAACTGTGGAGGCTCTCTTATGTTTTGGGGTTACATTTCAGCCAGTGGTTATGTGGATCTTTTCAAAATTAAAGGAGTTCAGAACACATAAAAGTAAGGTCAGGTTTTGATCCACCATGCAATACCATCTAGAAAACATCTGACAGGCAATGGACTTAATAGGATTTCAACAAGATAATGATCCCAAGCAAACAGTCATGAATCAGCTTCCCCAGAGTCCAGATCTCAACATTATTGAAGCAGTGTGGGATCATCTCAACAGAGAACAGAACAAACAGCCGCCAACATCCAAAGAAGAGGTTTGAGTGTTCATCAAGAAGCCTGGAGACCTACTCCTGAAGACTACATCAAAGGCTTGGGACTTTTGCATTGTACTGTACAGGAGGAAGTACAGAAAAGCTGCAAGGATATTAAACCATACCAATAATAACTGCTGACAAGTTTTAATGGCAGAATGTGTTTAGAGAGTGTCTATTGGTTTCTATTTTGTCAAATCCAGAAAAAAAACATGCACTTTACTGATTCATTCTCATTCCCAACATAATAATCATGACCAATAAAGCTAAATCTGAGATATTATAGCATTAAGAAAAGAAGGTATTGCTGCAATACAAAATATTATTATACCTTCTTTATTAGTGAATATTCCAGTTTTACCTCTGCAGGACTCCACAAATGAAAAAGAGTGAGGAGGAAACATGACACTCCTGAAGACTCTCTGTGAGATATAGGGTGATGCCAAATAGATTCCTATAAAGAAAGGGTTACACAATCCTTTGTGGCTTGAGAAAACTCCCCTCCCTCATGGACTCTTAAAGCATCCAATGCAGATAGAATTGCAGCTCGGAGTCCCCTGATAGGCTATGGCTTAAAGGCATTAAATGTGAACTCTGCTGAACTGCCAGTTCAAGTGTGGCTACCTTACTCAACCTTTACTCTGTGTTATTTCTTTAATCCTCACAAATAAAACAGACTACATGTGCATACAGATGAGTGAAACATTAACAGAGCGTAAGATGTTCTAGGACAGTGTTGGGTCATGAGATGCTGCCCTCTCTTGGAAAGGTGGAACCCCCACCAGACCCTAAACTCCAATGTGTGTGTGTTTGTTTTGACAAAGGTGGGAGACAGCGCTGTCTAACATGTTGGTCCGATATCTGGTGATCACTTAGGTTGCGATCTGTTTTTGCCAATCCCGCAGAATATGATATATCCCTCACACCCTATGTATGGTGTCATTTTCATTCTGGAAGAGACCACACTGTTTCTTCACAGGATAAATGTTATCACCCTGAATATCTTTGTATTGATTAGCATTGGCCCTGCAAGGGGACAAGCAGATTCAAATCTTTAAAAAAACAAACAAAAAAAAAAAAAACGCTACAATTTATATTTTTGTTGGTCTGAAATAGATTTTTAAAAATCAGTGGGTCCCTTGGAGGTAGCCCATTCATTTTAATTACTGCATGTGTGCAATTCAAAACTGTCAACAGTAACAGAAAGTGTAACAGGACACCAGTTTGGACATTTAAGCAAACGCTGCGGGTCTTGGTCAGACATAAATGGCCACATGCATGCATCTACAATATAGAGAAAAACATTTCAAAAGTCTTAAATAAATGCAGGTTGTTGTTAATGAATTTGACAGGAAAATACTGTGTAGCCCTGCCAAACTACCCACACACCATCAAAACAATAAACTACAAGAAAGACAACTCCCCCTGCAACCTCAGCATGAAAGGAGGTGAGGCGCACATATTGTTCAGTGACTGGAAACAGAAGCCTGGTTCACACTGCACCTGCTGGGCCAAAGCTTTTTGGTCCTTCCCTCAACTGCTCACTGTCCATCTCTCCAGGGAGACAGCAGCCACACAGACCTCAGTAGTCCAGCAACCCCCCATAGCCAGCTCTTGAGCATCCCAGCCCCTCCTTTAATTTCATTCTACATCCATTCATTTTTTTTTTTTTATTGTTAAGTGACAGATTCAGGTTATACATATTGTGGCATTATTATTAAAGACTTCCTCCCACGTTGTGTCCCACTGTATAGAATGCAAACCTTAAGTAACGCTAGCCAATTCACATTAGGCGGTGCATGAGAACTTAAGCAGCTGCAGCTATATCCTTTTGAATGGCAGTTTTGAGGAAGACAATATGGTTCTCAGATTGATTTTTACCAAGAACAAACGCAGACAGACAGTGAGAGACGGAGACTTGAAGCAAAGGCAATATGGATCAAAGCCGGAGCTGACGCACCACGTAAGATACATCAAACTAATGCAGCTGAGCGTTGCTGTGACATTTTCTCGAATTCAAGCGTCAGCTAATATGTACACCGGGCTGAATCGCATGCATGTAACACCCCCACACCCCGAGACACCCACAAGCATAAAGGAGGAATCGACATACAATATCTGTCTGGATACATATCACTCTCCGTTAATACTGCTTGGGTCAGTGAGGATGCCTGAGCCCATTTCTAAACAGGCTGAAACCTTGAGCCCTGAGCCCCTTCAGGCAAACTGGCTCCCCACTGACCAGCTGCACTGTCCTTGTCAGCTACCTAAATAACAAAATAACCTCCAGAATAATTCGGTTGTTTTCCTTGCAGTCAGAAAATGCTCGAACAGCTGTTACAGTGAGAATGTCATTTCCTCCTGGCAAATAGCATTTCACATAACAATAGACAAATATTCGGCTATAAAGGCAAAGTGTCAGGGGAGAGGTAAGCTTATTGTACACTGCTGTTGAGCTGTTACCCACAAGTATGAATAACAGTGATGTAAGTTGCAACGGGTGAGAAAAAAAGAGAAGAAAATGTGAAACAACCTAAATATTGGGCCCAATTTAAAAACCAAGTCCCTGAACTCTCATAGCAGGAACTTGGTGCAGCTTCGCAATGCTCAAAATACCAAAGTAATATAACTTCACGGCCTCCTCTCTTCTCGTCTTGGGGGTAATTTCATCATCTAGAATTTTTGAAGTTCTGTTTTATAGAAGCACATCCAGCAAATGTCAAAGGTGCTGTTTATCTGTCAGTTATGCAAATTGGGACACAGGAATATGGCTGTGGGGGATTCATTTCCAATATGGTTAGGATGCACCAGCAAACAGAAGAGACACACTGAAGAAAAAAAAGAGCATCCTTTAAATGGCAGGAGATGAACTTCTGTAGATTCAGTACACTGCCTCCACTGAAAAGAAATGGAGCGAGCAACAACAGAATTGAATTCCTCTAAAAAACAGAAAGAAAAAAAAAGGACGGAAAACATATTACAATGAAAAGCGGAAAGAAAAGAAGAAGGTTTGGAGCATTCCAGCTGCAACGTGCAGAAAGGGGAAGAAGCTATTTAGATTATTTTGCTCTGTGATCTCGCTGCTCAGTCAATCAAACAAAGAACAAATGTGTTGTTTTTACTACAGCAGTGTAAAGCAATTGTTCATTTATCAATACGCCGTCACACCACATGGAAACTCTTGAACAGAATGCGTTACACACACACAGTCATCATTTTTAATGGCATGGCGAGTTTTTTTTCCCCCAAGCCTTCTGCTTAATTATAAAATGATATCCCTGTGCTCGAGATGGGTTTCTTAGGTTGCCCAGGCAAGTTTGCGTTGTCGGAAGTAATTCGCGCACCATAATATATTCCTTCTACCACTCGCAAAAGTATACGCAAACCTACTCATTCGATCACACTAGTCAGGAACACATCTGGGCCAAGAAGAGAAACTATCATCAGACGGTAAATGAGATCCAGCAGCGGCAGGCTTACCTTTGAGAATGCTCTGGCCGTGCAGTAAGTCTCTTGAGACAATCACCGTGTAGAAGTTCTGGGAGAAGCCTGGTCTGCACGGGGGTTTGAGGGGCTGGCCTGCCTTACTCCCCTGAGGAATAAAACAAGGCAGCCTGTTAAGATTGGCAAATTGACTTGCAGCCACCAGGGTCACAAGCTGATCTCACGGCCTCTTTGAGTTGATATTGAATCTCACAGTCTCTCTTGCCACAGTGAATGATTTGTTTCAGACTACAGCACGTTGAAATTCAGACCGTCACAGTGTGGAAATCTAACTCTGGAGCTGCAGGCACCTGCTTAGATTCACTGTAAAGATACATCAAGCTTCACGGGAGATACTTAGATTAGGAATTAAAGGGAAATAAATTTCTTTAATCCATCTTTACCTACTCTATCGTCTACATAGGATTTCGAGAAGCAGGAGTATAAGAGGTGGACTACACCCTGAATGCGTGACACACTATTTCAAGGACCATAATCATCATGATTAAGGCAATAATGTGATCCACACATTCTGAATATAATGAAACTCAAAGAAAAGTAATATAAGTGGCAGGACTAATGAGCATTAGAAAGATGGTGAGAATGACTAGCTGGAAATGTTCAAACATGAAATATATACATTGCACGCTGATTGAAGTCTGTGCGCATGTGTGAAAGCCAAGTGCATTTAAATATATAGCTGACATACAGACATAGCCGTAGGCTCACGTTATCCAGTGGGGAGGAAGAATGCACTCCCAGGGATGCACCTTATTCATCGCACCATCAATGCTACTCTAAAGAAATTATACTGCGCTCCCCCCACCCCTAACTCGGCTTTGCTATCAGCACACCTCAACAAAACCCCATAATAATAAGTACATCATTTGACTGAGTTTGGATATTTAAAAAATATATATATAAGCTATTTATACTGTTGCTCATTTGCCTCTTGAATCGAAGTCCGTAATAAGGCGCTAAACCCTTAACTCAAAACAAAAGAAGACATTAAAGCGCGTAAACGTGCGTAAACGAAGTTGATCGCAGCAAGCAGCACGAGAAGCCCCTCTGGAAACCACTGTCCTCTGCAATAATGCACTGCAGTTTATGTGGACGACAGGCTGTGGAGGCAAGCGAAGAGTTATCAGTGACTTTTCCACTGCAGTGAGAGCCGACATAATTACCAACTTCAAATGGGCCACACGGGATTCTGTTACACAAATCGTGTTGCCATCATAGCGCAAAAGCTGATCCGTTAACGGCCACTTTCGAGCGCCCCTGCAGCGCGCTGCAAAAACCGAAGTAAGCACTACAGCAGTGCAGCACTTCCACCGTACTGTTAGGGTGACTATACGTGTAGAAATTAACTCATCTTACCGAGGATGCGCCCACAAGTAAGGTGCACGCCAAGATGACGCAGCCAGCGTTCATCTTTGCAAAACCCGCGTGTTGGTGGGGGGTAAAAAGAGGAAAAGATTAGTCTTCTTCGCCAAATACACCTCAGTAATTCCCGGAGCGCTGTCTTCCGCTTCTCCACTGCTGAGTGAGACGCCGACCGTACTTGTCTGGCGCAAAAGTGCCGCTGAGACAGAGACGCTGCGCTCCGTCCGGAGGAAGCCGGTGCCCATTGGATAACAGCGTCACTACAACCCCTCCTACCGCACGGCGGAGCAGGCAAGGCGGTGTGCACCGTCTTTGCTCCGAATGACTCTGTGTGATGATGCCCCGTGCCACTTCTGGGATCTATTGGTAGAAAAATGCATTTTCCAGCCAATTTAGATTCATATTTTTTATTTTTTTTAAACTTCAGATGGAGCAAAAGCGGTTCTGGCTGTGTGAGTGACAACCAACCATCCGAGCCCTTTCTTATGTCCATCAGCTAACTGGAGTCTATTTCACACACCACTTACCCCCTCTGCCCCTGATCCACAGTATAAGTATAGCAAGAGCCCCCGAGATATTAGCTTTTTATTAAAGCAGCTGTGATAGGCCACTGCGGGATAAGACTTTGATTGTGAGTGAAAGGTTCAAATAAATAGTACAATGAATCAGGAGCCTCTGTGATCACCTACAGGAAATATGTCTATAAGTCTATAAATCATTTCCAGTTATAGGTCTTCATATTTTATTTTATTTTTTAAAAGGGTGACTACTTTAGCCTAATGACCATGTTCCATAATAATAATTTGCAACAAAATAAAATTTGGCGTCAGCATTAAATGTCTTACTCCATTTTGGGAGCTTATGTTATTAATAAAGTTTAGAATTTACATACAGTATAATAAACTTATACATATTTAGCTTTTGTGCCGAAGTCAAAAAAAATGCAGGAGAAATGACTTAACTGCACCTTTAAGTGCTTTAACTGGTTTAATAATGTTGACATTTCCGAAGCCTCACATCGGTGCCTCAATTTCCATATCTGAGAGGTCATGACAATTTAATCTCATCAAAAGGAATAGGACAGTATTGCAGTGTCAATCAACACAGCCCTGTCCCTGCCATTCATTTTCATACTCCTTCATTTTCATACTCCTTCCGTATTGAGAAAAACCTGGTCTCTGAACAGGTTTTTCTTCTTCTTCTTCTTCTTCTTTGGTTTCTTTCCTTTAAATGGTATCTTCAAAACAAACTGCTTGAGGCTGATAATTAGGAAGCACTCCTAGTGTAGTTGACTACAGCTCAGTTGGTGTTTCTGTCCAGAGGGCAGGATTTTGTAAGGTCAGAGATATGAGAAGTACACTCCACTCATCTCTCTTCGGGGTATTGTGCTTATGCTTTTATTATACTCTGGAAATCTTGGCAGAGGAACTGTATGACAAGGATTTAAACTTACACCCTGTGCAATAAACAGCAAGTCTTACTTGTAAAAAAACAACAACAAAAAAAACCCAAATCATAGAAGGTCCTCCAGGGAAAAAGACTTTCCCCCCCCCAAGTCTGAGAAGTTTCCCTTCATTCAGATGGCTGCCGAGGCTACATGTCGACACTTAAACCTAATTAGTCAAACACAGCACTGTTCATAACGTGACCATGGCCCGACCGTGCGACTTCCCCTCAGAAGATCACATCCATCCTTCGGCTCAGATTATCTTACTTATGGCTCTACAAAGCACTAATTTTCAATCTGCCTCTGTGGCATTAGCACAGATACATCCATGAAATTACTGTTTTGGTGAATTAGGACCCTTAAGACGTGCACGACTGATTCTCCTCACAGTGAATTCCTCATGGCTTGAAGGTACCCCTGCCAGTTTTGGGAGGTGAGGAAATTATTTCTTTCAAGTATGGAGCATTTGCCTAATAAAAATACCATCTGGGCATTTGAAGTGAATTGGTTTAAGGCCGTGCTGAATTATTAAACAAATCTCACAAAATGGGTCCCCGCTCTCTTTTACAGTAGGAACACCTCGCAGTAGACAAACTCTGCTTCCCATTTGTTATTTCATGAATTGCTTTTTCTCCCCTAGCGCAGTCATTTGTGACGGGTTACATTTATATGCAAACGTTCGGCCTGCCCTCAGTTGATTTTAAGAGGTGACAAGACGTATATACAGACCTTGCAGCAAAAAAACAAACACTGGGAAATTAAATCCCATCTGCGGCATTTGCAAAAGTTTGGCTCTCGTTTTGCTGTAAAATTCTTAGAGGTTTATTATCTCATTAGGCCTTAATTGATGAATTAGGACTTGAAAGGAAAGTGAAGAATTGTCAGCTTTTGGCAGGTCCAAAGCTGGTAAGTTCTGACTCTTTAAATCTTGTGGCAACACTTAACAGCCATGGGATCCTCTGAACAACTGAGGATCTGAAAATGAGGCTAATTGATGCCTACAAAGCAGAGGAGGTCTATGAAAAGATTTGAAAGTGCTCCCAGCTTGAAATTTTCACTGTCCAAAATGTCATTAAGATACGGCAGTTTTGTGATATCTGCTGCAGGCGGGTGGTGATGGTGGGTGGATTATTTTCATGAAATAATAAAAATCAGCGCAGCAACATTTGAACAAAGTCTCATTTTAATGTATGTTTGCTGCAGGGTTTGTATTGCTTCTTTCCCTTTTCAAAAATCAACATAATACTCTATGTCATCTGCCAGCCCACTCTCACAGCAAAAGTGTGAAGTAGTAATTCGCACTGGTCTGCGGCACAAAATGTAATGTTTCTCACAACAAAGGCTGTAAATTTGTGAGATGGCTACCTACATTTTTTGGGAAGATCAGTGCATGTATGGCATTATCAACAAGGCGAAATGGAAATTAGGCTTGACTAATAACCAAAACTATGATTTTTCCCCAAAGCTGATGAAATCGTCTTAAACATTGGACTGAACCAAAAAACAAGTGAAAATGAAAAGAAAAGAAAAAGAGAAAAGAAAAGAACCTTTTATTGTGCCACATGAGAACATACATCAGTTTCATATGGGCTTATGTTTCTTAAAGAACGGTCATATGACAGTAAATGGTCCTTAAATGGCACATTTCTACTCAATGTGGGCACCTAAACCACTTTTCTTTGTACGAGCTTCGCTTAGCAATTCACACACACTCATATGCCTAAGCACTAACGTTCAGACTCTCACACAGCTATATCAGGGGCAACTTGGGGTTCAGTATCGTGCCCAGGGATACTTTGACACGCAGGTTGGAAGAGCCAGGAATCAAACCACCCACCTTCCAATTAGCAGATGCCTCATGCTACATCCTGAGCCACAGCACAGGTCAAGATTAAATAACTCCCAAACTCTGAGGACCAGTACACCAGCTTTCAAACATCTTTCTGTGAGACTGAGTTGATTATCTCTCCTCTAGTGTCTCTCTCTCGTGGCTTTCTCTTACCACAAGCCAAATGCTCTAGGAGACAATATTTCCACTCAAATTTAATTTTAAGAACTGCGCATTTAAAGCAACACAGTTTTTTTTCTCTTTTTTTTTCTCTTTTTTTCTCGCATTTATCACTGAGGCACAAAATTTGTAAGGGCTCATTGGGAATTTAATGATCCTGCCTGCATAAATTAGGACCAACTAGTACATGATCGTATCTGACACCACTAAAATAATTAGGAAGAAATTTAATCCACTCAAGATTCATTTTGCTGATACAGCTGATCAGATTTTACTATCTGTAAAGACTACAGTTACACACAGCATGTGTTCTATACAAAAGGTTCCCATCATGTACAGATGTCTGTCAATTCACCCACTGGTGAAAGATGTTACAAAAAGTTTTACAGCTTATATGTCTTGGTCCTTGAACCCAGAGGACAGACAGTTTAGTGGTTTGGCCCCGAGTGAAGAACTAAGAATTACTTTGTGTAAATGTTTTAAGACTGTAGTTTACAGTATACAATTTATATATATCTTGTTCTTAATCAGTAACATTAACAGCTGTCAAATTGTCATGCAGTGTTACAATGTGTCAATTCAAACACATACTTAGGCCATAGTTGCTACTGCATCATTTGTGATGGGCCAGCCAGCTGCCAGTTATAATTACCTACTAGAAGGACCTGGCGCGACCTCCACTATAAGCCTACATATTCACACAGTAGAAAAGCATTCATGCCTACGCAATTCACAGGGATGCCACTGATCTTGCAACAAATACTGTCAGCTTTGGGGAAGCAGTGAAACTTTCCTCTTGCTGACCAAAGAGAAAACTTCACAGACATTCCCCGAGTTATGTGACAACCCGGTAAAAATCAACAAACCCTTCAGATTAATTAACACTTTCACAAAGAGGAGAGAATAGCATTTCAAAAATGTGTTATGGCATGACGCCTTTCTAAAATATTTGGAGGGTTTTCAGGAAAACAATGTTGCAGCTGCTGGCAGTGTGTATCTAATAATGGCTCTTGAATAATTTTAGTGTGCAGAATATTGTCGAGAGGTTATTATTTTGTTCTACACTCTGTGCAATTGCGCTGAGTTTAGGTTGTTGTGTGTAATCTGCACAATATCAGTGGAGCATACTATATAACATCAGCAGAGGAAATATTAAATAAACTTTGGCGTCTACGTTGTTAGGTGTTTTGAAAACAACACCATATAGTGAACAGGATGCTGTAACGATAACTTATTCCCTGAAGATTTGAGGCTGGTGGAATTTTCTGTACACGGATATCAAATTGATGGACAGCAAGAAAATGAAACGCGGCCGAGATAGGCAAGCTTCATTAAAATGTAATCCGTTCTGTAAGACAAAAAAAAAAAAAAATCACCCGTATAAAATTTTTAGGAGATTTTCAAATTGGAAGCAGGAATCGATGTTTTGTTTTTACGTGCTGCTCTTGAATGAATGAAATATTGATATGTGCAGAACAGAGACATCTGAAGATCACAGGAAGCAGATGATCAATCAGTAAAACAATGTCGGGAATGCCTGCACAACACCTTAAAGCAAGCAGAAGATGGAAAATGAATATAAAGTCTCTTCATGAGATCTGTCTCCACAGGGGCTTTACTATAGATTTCAAACATTAAGGAGACATCCACAAAAAATGGGTCAGTTTGTCAACACAATGCTACAGGCTACTCTCAATATTTAACACAAGGCACGAGCCCCTGCAGATGCCTGTATCGCTAACCTTTTGACTGCCATTTCATTATATGCTACGATTGCTTGATAGGTGCGCAGAGAGCGGTCCGATGGTGATGGATGACAGTGGATGTCATTTGCTTTTCATTTGAACCGGAACATCAGAATTTACTCCACCTAATTAACCTC